CAGGTGGTGGCAGCCACGCGTGTGGATTGTTTCCAGGGGACGGCAGAGTCACTCCAAAGACCATGCTTCCAGGCTGGTACTGACTTCCCAGACCTCTGTATCCAACAGTCTGGACACAAACTCTTTCCAAAAGCTCTACACGAGATCTGCATCTTGATTTTCATAATGTGATCATGGCTGACCCCTAGGGCTCCCCATCCCTTACTAAATAATCTGTTGTTAAGCCCAAGCATTTTGGTTTCAGGCTGAGTGCTAGCCTCATCCTTTGACTTACTCATCTCACTTACATCTTACTCACCAAAACAACAGCGGGAATAGATAGAAGAATTAACTGAAATAATCAGTGGATAAAATCAAGAGATAAAAGGTGAATGTTAATGGTGGATGCCTGCAATAAACGTTCTGTTCATGTTCCCTCTGAACGAGTTGTCATGGGAGAAACACCGTGATGACTAGAAGGATCATACCTGAGTTTCCTTAGGGGGCAATTTTGACATTTCAAGGCTTCACACAGCTTCTTTATTCCACTGTGCCCCAAAGAATTCTGGCCCAGGTCCAAGGTGGTCAGGCTCCGGTTGCATTTGAGGGCAGATGAGAGGTCCATGCAACTGAAAGGCATGATGCTGCAACCCCACAACCTAATGGGGAAACAAAGGTTCTTTAACGCATTAATTCAACCAACACTGAATCCTATATGCCAGGCACACTCTTTGGTACTGGGAATCCAGTAACGAACGATGAAAGCTTCCATCCTTAGAGCACATTCTAGCAACTAGAAACAGTAAAGTATGTAGTTTGTCAGCTAGAAGTAAGGGGCATTTGAAGGGCAAGAGGTAGAAGGAGTAGTCGGAGTTGCTGGGTATGATGGCCAAAGAAGATCTGAGGAGCGAAGAGAAAGACCCATAAAGAGATTGGGGTGAGGGGTCTCTAGGCAGAACTATAGCCTGTGCAAAGGCCCAGAGGGTGTATGATTATGATGTTAAACAGAACATCAAAGCAGCCAGAATGAGAGTGAGCCAGGGAGGTCATAAGAGAGGAGTTCTAGGCAAGAGAGGGCCAGGTCACACAACACACTTCCAACTAGAAGCAAACCCATTGCTGTTGAGTTGATTCCAATGTACAGGGACCCCCATGTGTGTCAGGGTAGAACTGGGCTCCACAGGGTTTTCAAGGCCGAGTTTCAGAAGGTCAATCCCCAGGCCTTTCTTTCTGGCCCATCTCAGTCTGGAGGCTTTGCTGAGACGCCTCCACTGACAGGCGGGTGGGAGTTATGTGTGCAGTGCACTGGCTGCAAATAGAAGCCAGTTCTCCTGCACGGACAGCAGGAGTTCCACCCGTGAAGCACCAGCGCCTCTCCAGATATCACAGCTCGAGGGACCTGCCACACGGACAGTTCAGACACAGGTTAAAGCTTCAGAAGAATTTACCACAGGCATTTCAGGTTACACGTCGGTTCCTTCAGGGCTTCACACAGCAGGTTCAGCCCAGTGATTCCTACGCGATTCAGCCCCAGATCCAAGTGTGTCAGGTTCGAGTTTTGTTGAAGAAGGTTTGAGAGATGATCGCAGCCACTGTCAGTTACGCCGCAGTTCCACAACCTAGACATCAACCACATGGACAAATAACTGCTAGCTTAATGTTCGCACGCCACAATCTTCCACCTCAAGGCATGGAAATGGAGACTAGACTTGGGAATAAAGTCATGAGATGAAA